TGGAATAAGACATGATTTGAAGAGCGCTTACATAGATAAATAATAACTCCTTTATCTCTTTCTTCACGTTTCGTCTTGCTTTGGTTTTCTAGTGACAATGAATTCCGCCTTGGTTACAAAGAATTTCTTATAGCTGTCAGAATTTTAGAAATCCCTTAAGCTATTGACTTTTTTTACTTCAGTTATCAAGTCTGTGTGAGCATATGCCTTTCAGAGGACTGGACACTTCTGAAATTGAGGTGAGGCCTTGCCTTCACTGTCTCGTTAGAAAAACTTCTCAATCTAATAGTTTAGACCAGGAGCTGTTTCTTGGGTTATTGTGTTGTGTTCCCTTATCGTTTTTCACTCATCTCTCCTGTTTCAAAATTTACAGCAAAAGGAGAGCGAACTGAAGTCAGAACTACTCAAGAAAGGAAAGAGACAATACACACAGGTTAGTTTTGCGTAACAATATATTTTATTCAGGTTTTGGTCTATAGGCTTTCCTTACCAAAACACTGGTAAAAAAAAAAGTTGACTGAGAAAAGCATTCTAGGGGTTTATTATGATAGAACTATATTTATCCATGTGATGATGTTTTCTAATATCCGTACTAATATTTAAATCTCTCATTTTTCGTTTAAATTCCATGCATTTGCTCTTTACCGATCATCGCAGCCAAGCTCTAACCTGCTTCTGTTAATGGATATATTGCTAACTTATTTTGGTCAGCCCTCGTTAAGACGTTGTATATTTTTCAGGTGTACACTGACATTCAGTATGCTCCCCAGGAGCGAGATTTTCACAGCGTCATAACAGCGCGTGAAGCGGCAGAGCTCTGCATGGCAAAGAATCCCCAGATGCTGTATTTTAGAATGCCATTGTCAGAGGACAAAGCGCCGGAGGAGAAGGTAGAGTGATAAAGGCCTTGGGTTGTTTAGAATTATGGAATCGGATTCAAGAAAATACGTATTATCTTGCCTGTGCAGTTGATATTTGAGTAACTTCTTATTCAAAGATTATACGCTCCATTAACACCGCCAACAACTAAAAGTGACTTGATCAAAGTCGAACAAACACCAAGGACGACAACTGTGCTATGACATCAAGAGCAGCGACAGCAGCAGCAACAACAACAACAACAACAACAACAACAAAAACAATTACAAAAACAACAGCAGTGACAAAAACGATAACAAAAAAGACAACGACTACAGAAACAGACACGGCAAAAATAACAACGACAGCAGCAACAACAACAATAACAGTGCAAAAAAACAATCAATATAAATAAATCAAGCAAGGAATACCCTGAAAACCATTCACCTTATTTCTGTCTGTATCTTTAAAATAATCAACAAAAGGCAAAATGTCATCCTCGTTTCGAAAACGTCTCACTAAACGTATTTGTACAGACGATGGTTGGCTTATGTTCTTTATTTCTCCACGTAGGACTTTGATCGAATTTTAACAATAATGAACAGCCTGCATGAGATCTACACTGACGAAGATGGCCCTGCTATCGTCTTTAACTGCGAGATTGGCAAAAGTCGAACGACCACTGGAATGGCAATAGCAGCACTGATTTACTGCAACAAAAGGGTATAAATAAGATTTTTATGTTACTCAATAACACTGCACTGCATGCAATCTTTCACCTCAATTCTTATAGCTCTCTAATGCTTGATCATACGAAGAAGCGTCACCGTTAGAGCAATTTGGTTTATTTAGACTACTTTGTGCAAAAACGCGGAGATTTGAGTTCGAATCAATCTTCTGCATGCTCCATCCTTTTTATTTCTTGGTCTGTTATCACTTCGAATGCGTATTTCTCTTTAGTTTGTAGTCTCCTTCAGGGCGAAATGCAGGTTGGAGTAAGTGACGCACGTCACAAATACCGACTCAAAACATAATTACCAAGGGTTATTAAAAACCTGCATAATTGTTTTTAGTTTGGTGAAGTAGCTTTAATAGTTAACACAAGTTCCTAACATGAAATATCTTAAGTCAATTATAGAAAAATACAGCCAGAAAAGAGCTTAGTCTTGTAAATGTTTCCTTTCCAAGGGCTTTCCTGTTGGCACGAAGGTGGATGAACAAGATCCAGCTTGTGTCCCAAATGCTAAGTACACACTGGGTGAATTTTCGGTGCGTATTACCCATTAATCATAAGAATAACAATTTTATCGATTGTGATTGGTTTGAAAAACTCCTATTTTCCTCCTATCCACTTCCCAAGTTGTTATCGGACAGTTTGTTGTTGGACAGTTAAAAAATCCAATCATATTCAAAGTGGTAGTATATTAATCAATCAAAACCTTGGTTTCAATCACCATAGCCTCAGCATACAGACTCCTATATCTTTTCTCTCAGAAATTGTAATTTTTATGATTAATTGGTAAGAAAACTTCGTGTCGTCCAATTCGGTCTGTTATCATACTCGTGATAAACAAATCGGACTCCCGCTGCGTGGTCGTCTGATTTTGTTATCACACGTATGATTATAGACCAAATTGGACTTCACTCAGTCCTATTACCATAGCTTATTTTGCTATAACATAATAAGTTAGACAATCACTAAGCAACTGCTGCCTACATAGACATAGCACTGTGCATTTAGCCCTTTACATCCGAACATCAGTATGCATATTATCCACGCTGTCCCTTATACATTTCCTAAGGTGCTGTTAAGGAGAATTAGTTTAACAGTCAAGAGCTTCTTTAGATGGCCGATCGTTTCCTAAATTCTCATGACCTGAAGGTGTGATGCGACAGAGACACTGTAAGAAGAAATTAGATGCGGGTAACTCTCGCGAATTAAAAGTTGTAACGTTAAAAAGGAGCATTGATGCTGCGTGGGTGGGGTAAGAAAGACTTTTAGACAAGAGTAACGAGTGATCAAGGAGCAGGTAACGCAGGTAACTAACACGAGTATTGTTCATTTTATTTCAGGTTATTCGTCACCTTAAGAGAGTTCTACCTTTTGGTCCACAGAGAAAACGTGAAGTTGATTATGTGTTGGATAGAATTTCAGAGACAATGACACCCATGCATTATCACTCAAGAGAAGTTATATTCTCTACATTTAATTTGGTGAGTCACCTGGAAGTGTTATATTGACCTTTAGTGCGAAAGTCTTCCCTTCCTTATTGCCACTTATCAAGGAGTAATCTCAGATACGCACGATAAGATAGCACTGACGTTGAAGAAAGTGCTAGTAATCCCTCACAATCTATTATCTTCAAATAAAGGTTGAGTAATTTATGCACAGGATCACGGGCTATTGAACCCCTCCAATTTTAAAATCACATACCAATAATCGTATTGCATCTCAACAACGTTTTTCCTGATATTCAACCATCTTGCTGGTCATTTATCTGCTTTTCAATTAACTTGCCCTCCCCCTTTCTCTTCAAATTTTCATCCTGGCCAGCTACCTATCGAAAGACCTGACTTCAACTTTGCTATTCAAGCTCCCTTTTCAGGACACTTTTACCTTACATACCTCCGTCCATCATAAGCTAAAACTGCGTGTTTGAAACCTTACCGACTACCTTACGAACTCCACCATAAACTCAATTTTTTGCAGTATCGCAATGGCGTGTGCAAGAACCGAGAGGAAATTTCGGAGCTGAGAAAAAAGAGTCTCAACTTGTTGGAGAGATATTTCTACCTTATCTTGTTTAATACGTACTTACACATGGAGAGGAGAACCAAATGGCAGCGTTCTTTTAGTCAGTGGATGACTGAAGTTGCAACAGCTGCTGGTGTTTACGAGATGCTCGACAATTTTGGCTTCCATGATTTTGAAAAGACAGAGGAACGCTTGCGCGCCCTGCGCTGGAGATGGCGGGAAAGTTACAAGGGCAAGCCGTCATATTGATAATTCGGCGCGAAATGTAACTTCTACTCAGAGAGAGCACTGTGGACTGTGAAGGAAACGGAAAAGCGCCAAAATTTCCATCAAAACCGAAAAATGGAAATACAATCGCTCCAACCAGAAATTAAGGATCTGAGCTGAAGACGCGAAAGAATATCAAAACCTAAAAAATAGGAGATTTTGTGCGCCTATCTCAATGAACAAAACCGATATAAACTGGTGCGCCTTTCTAACTGATGTATAATAACTAAGGTTTAGGTGTATTGTTACATATTTATGATCTCTATTTATCGTAAGTCATTGAGATGGTAGCTAGTTGTTATTCCTCCCCTGAATGATACAAGAATTCTGGAGAATTGCATGAGCGGACTCTGTCTTGAGCTGTTTCGCTAGGCAATAATGGGCTCTAGACCTGACAAAAGCCAAAGCAATGGTAAAAACTGTATAGATATTGCCCAAAGGGGATTAGAGCAGACTACTATTACGTCTGCAGTGCTATTTTATCTCTACCTTGCTGTAAATAACCCACTGATAACACGAGCGAAATGAATGAATGAACTTGCGCTTTTTATGGTATTTACCAGTATTGCTCCTATAGAAACTCTCTTGCCAATCAAGAATAACTGGATCATAAATTTCTACATCATGAGTGTTTTTCAGTTCATTCTGACATGAAATGAAATCCAAATTTAATATTTGTACCAGTTGATCGATAAACTATTATCTCCTGAAACAAAATAAGGAAAACAAAACAAAACAGAACAAAAATGAAAATTTTATGGGAAGCGTTAGGCCCAAGTTATTTTTGTGTTTAGATTAAACATCAAATAAACATTTAATGAATTCGTTTGTAATTAAACTCTGTTTACAACTGTTTATTGGTAGACTTAAATAAAGGAAATAAACGTTATCCTAACCTCCTTAGTTTCTTTTGTTTCTTTGCGTCCTGGTATGGTCCAACCCTTAGATAAAAAGCGCTTTTTTGCGCTAGTTTTTTTTGAGTAAGGGGTAAGAATTTCAAGGGAACTGTGCTCGGGTGAATTAAGTGCCCGTGGGATCCCCCAACAGCGGAATTGTTTGCCAGGCTGCATCAGACCATCGTCACCTCTATGACCCTGACGAAACATTGAATATCGCGTTTCATCTCACATTATCAGTGCCGTCCCTTAGTTTAGCAGTGTCGCATTTTTCTAACGTTTAGAATGGCAGGGGTTTCTGTTCTCATCGTTTTGTTTTGGTTTTTCATCACCAACATCGTCCAAGGAACAGATTTTGACCATTATGAGAGAAAGACACACCGTTCTCGCAGATCCTCAGTGACTAATGCAGATTTGGAGATCAAACTCGACTCCCTCATATCAATGCTGGGAATGTTAAATGACAAAATTGATTCACAGGAGCGGCGTATTTCTGTTTTAAGCCGACAAGTTAGCAATGTAAACTGCAACGGAGAATCAAGGCAAGGTAGGAAAAACTGCACGCGAAGTGTACACAAAAAATACATACTAAGCATTCTGGAAACACCCCTGCTTTGTGGCTCAACACGTAAGCAAGGAAAACAAGCCCCAAAACACTATCTTTGTTTAGAGTAGTGAAAGATTGGTTGGTAAAATACTTCAGCGCTGAAGCGATACCACTGAAACGAAGGAAAAGAACGGTACAATCGTTCGTACTCCTGAACTGATTACTTATTTTTCCATCTGTTTCAAGCGTTAAGACTCCAAGACAGCGCAAATGCATTCACTCCTTTTAAATTCACTCGCGACATTCTCGTCATTTTTATCGGTCGTGTAGGCACGATTATTTCATCGGAAGGTCCAACCATAACTGCTTTGTGCTATTGCCGGAAGGACATGTCAGCACCTTTCACTATCTTCTCTTGACACAGGGGATGGGTGAAGGGAGAGGAGGGTCAGTCACGCACTTTTTGCGTCTTCCTCTTTCTGCCTTTGTTGCCCCATTGTTTTGATGTCTACTGCTTTTTGTATCAGTTCAGTTCGAATACTAAAGGTAGGCTTAAACGCCCACAGAAAAACGTGGATTATATATAAACTTCCCTCCAAAGGCGGTTTTTATTTCTCACTGTCACGCGTGATTCTAATATTTAGTTTGAGAAACCTTCCCATATCCTTCTAAGTGTCAAAATTTAAAGGACAGAATAGACTCTCGAGATGGATCGTTTACATAACTTTTCCTTTAGTTCCTCGTGATTGTGCTGATGTTTACAAGTCTGGTCGTCACAAAAGTGGTATGTACACCATTGACCCTGATGGCGAGGGTACCATGGAAGTCTTTTGTGATCAGGTTAGTACAGGATTTCATCTGTGAGATGATGGAGACAGCGGTGTTGACAGGGTTTTAAACTTGGGCATATTACCAAGGAAGCATTTTGCTGGAAGGAGGAGCAAAGAAGGATGTATGATCAATTTTTTACAAGCTCTCGAATACAGCCACTGGCCACTTATGTCAGACTGAAATGACATACCAATTTGCTCTCGTAACATCATTTTCTAACATGACGGGAAGGCTTTGAGGACAAAATATTGCATATTTCCTACAGCAAGGGTGTGGCTGAGGGGGGGGAGGTCTTAGCTAGGGCTCGTGTAAACACCCCTCAATGTTTAGAAAAAGTTATGAATTAAAGGAAATTACTATCAGGCAAGAGGTGGATCCCCTTCATGTAAAGTACTTCTTACTCACCGCTCGATAAATATTTGACTGAGAGGAACACAATCTGTGTCGCGAAAGCCTCAAACTCTATTAAGTGACTGATGTCATCTTCATCTCGAAGATGAAAGATTTTCAAATATTATTGGTGTAGTCATTAGCGCTCTGAACCTAACCATCTTTACTCCCTATAGTTGTCAAGAGACACGGTTAATAAAGCCATGATACTCAGTAGTGCTAGAAGCACTTCGTGGCAGAAGTGCGCTATTTGTCCGTTTCTGTATCCATTTTTTTTTCTTGTTTCTTCGACAGACCACAAACGGCGGTGGCTGGACAGTATTTCAGAAGAGACTTGACGGCTCGGTTAACTTTTTCCGTGAATGGAATGAGTACAAAGAGGGGTTTGGCTCTGCTGGAGGTGAATATTGGCTGGGACTGGAAAACATTCACCGACTGACCCATCAGGGAAGAATGGTACTACGCGTGGATTTAATTGGAAAGCAACTTCAGTCTGCGCATGCTTTGTACAAGGATTTTGTTGTCTCTGATGAAAAGCTGAATTATACTTTGGGGCTGGGTTCATACACAGGTTGGTCTTTGTTTTAATCCGCTTTATCTTTCAATTAATGTGTATATTGTTAGAAGTTATTTTCTAACACACGTTGTTCAGTTGAAGGTTTCTTTATTCTTCTCTTTCTTACATACAACTTATTACCTCGGGACTAGTTCAGATCTCTCGATGAAAGTGTGGGTCACCGCTAATGAAGGTGACGCTTACTGAGCTGTCAATCTCTAACCTTCGTCATGCTTTTACCCTTAACTAGCGAATTACGTTAAGCTACGTAGAGCGGAGTTCGCATACTAAGTCGGTACCGTCGAGATGTTTACGCTTCACAAATGATTTTCTACCTTAAATTTCTTAGTCTAACGATCAAGTTCGGGTAAAACAAAAACGAGATTGACAATATAAAAATTATGATAAACTTACGAACAGAACTGAAATCATAGTTGAGAAGATATCTTAAGAGAAAATAATCCTCGAAGACAGAATAAACGGAAAATTCGGAGAAGAAAGGGCGTACCCAAAGTACCGCCCCTAAAAGGGCTACGTGCTATTCGTATTAGTTAATTGATTATAAATTCATTGCGGAGGATGAGGTACTACATGTTTACACCTCAAGTCACCTCTAAGAAGAAGAGGTGCCGAGCGTGCTAAATTGTACCTGTAAGATAAGACCGCCAAAAGGAGTAAGAAATGATCAAATGGCTTATTATAATTTTTACTGAATGGCTTATGGTAATATATTATTTCCATTTATTTTCAACGTTTAAATAAGTAAAAAAAAAACCTATAATGAAAATTCTTGCTCGATGCTAATTTTCTTTCAACAATATGCTTTTAGAGTATAATAAGTGAAAAACCGGTGAAATTGTTAGGCTGCAAGCACAGTCATTTTCTGTAACAGAAAACAGACCAGAATGCCGCATTTATTGAAAATAATAAACACATCCGTTAGCTTCCATCACTAAATCGTAGACTTGTCATGTATGGGAAACTTTCCCAGACGATTTTTTTTTGGTGGAAGGTTTTTTTTTGGTAGTTTTTTTAATTTGAGTACTTTGCACCTCACAACAAGAAAGGTTTTAAAGGGAGCGTTTTGTGACCTAACTTCAGACCTTTCTCTGCAAAGTTAAGTAGAAAGTATCTATTTAAATATAGCGACAGCTTCTTGAGATCCAGAAGTTAATCACTCTTGTTCTATAGGAACCGCAGGTGATTCTCTGTCCTGGCACAACGGAATGCAATTTACGACCCGCGACAGGGATAACGACAAGTCCGCCGAGGGAAACTGTGCGCGGTTCTACATGGGAGCATGGTGGTACAACGCCTGCTTATTGTCCAATTTGAACGGCGTTTACTTTCACGAACCACAGACATCGTATGCCAACGGCGTGAACTGGAAGACTTGGGGTGGCCTTCAACACTCTGCGTTTCGAGCGGAAATGAAAGTGCGACCGGTGGGATTCAACGGCAAGCAGTAATAATGACCGCGTGACTATTTTGTATTCATGGATGCTCGGCTGAGCCAAAAAAAAAAGCTGTGTTAGTGTGCCTTCATAAAGCTGAAATTTGTTGTAGAAAGCCTCGAAATGAAGGCGTTAGAGGAAGAAGTTTTATCTGTCATTATCGAATGCTTGTTTTCAATAAACGACTTTAAACTTTCCATAAAGTTGTATAGGGTTACGCTGAATATTTTGTTGGTTAAAGAGGAAGGCGCTTTATTTGTATTAGTTCGCGTTCGAGTTTTGTTACTGTGGTTTTGAGCAAGCCGCTATCAGCTTTGCATGGTACCCTTTCTACCGAGAAATCAGTAACATCCAAGCATCCAAGTTTTAGGAAAAACACACATTCAATCAAAAACAAAACGAAACATCAGTTTTTTTAGGGGATGGGGCGTTTAGGAGGAAATTCCTGTCATGGCAAACGTCATGTCCACGAGAAATCTTATTTCGTCTCTTTGTCACTTCAACTCCCGTCCGCTGTGAGCCTGGGAACCAACCCCTTTGGTCACTATTATCATTAGGGAGCATTAGAAAATGAAAGCCATCTAATCCCATTTTTATTTGCTTTTAAATTACATTAGCTGTAACTGAGAGTAATACTGAGCCTACTGTGCAAATCTGTACTCTTGCGGATGTTATTAAACGGATAATTATTCTACAACCTAAAATGAGCCCGTGTTTTACTGAGGTCAACGAAATTGGGTTTTGAAAATCAAAATGGCCACTTGGTAAATATATTACCGCTGACTTCATCATTATCAGGTTCGGGCAATTTGGAATTTCAAGCGCGAAACAAACCCGATCCAGGACCTAACAGTGGAATTTTCGCTCTTAAATTCAAGGGGTTGAATTCTCTGCACTAAATGGAGAGTTTTGACCGCTGGGATTTTCTGTGGCCACTCTACATTCCCAGAACCAGCAATGGAATGGTCTCTCTCAGTAAACACTTCTCTCTCAGGATGTTCTCCTCTTATGAAGTTAATAAGCATCGATCGAAAATCCTGAAACTTTAACACGTTTTACAAAGTATCTCATTAATGAATAAGAACCAAAACGTGACGTCGAATTAGGGAAAAACACTCAAGACCCAAATCACATTATCCACGAAAATCGTTCCTAAAGTTTAAATGATTACATTCCAGCTTAAGCAATCCTATAACTTAATCTTATCTCATTTTTTCAGCCCTTGACTACAACGGTTCTTTGAAGCCTTACTGAACATAATCTTGCGATATAGAGAAAAGCTGAATAACAAAAATTCTGACACCTAAAAACTACAGAAAAGCTTCGAAAAAAATACATTAAGGCGTGCGTGCGTCAAGACCAATAAAATAATATCAACTTAATTAACCCTCTTGGAAGAAATTATTGTCCCCACTGCACATATGGTCATTACCACCACCATTTCCTTTCGGCTGGTTGAGCTCTGCTCGATTAGAGTTACAGGGAAGACACTATTTAATTCCTATTTCGCACAACTTAAATTTTCTGCGGTAGCTTTTTAAAAGAAAGATACAAAATAACTGGTACATACCTTAGACCCTCCCAATAAGAAGAGAAATTAAGTCCTTAACGTTAGACCAAAAGGTTTTACCTTAGGTGTTAGTTTTAAGCCAAAATTTCAAGCCGATTGTGATGTAAATATACTTTTGGCTATCTGAAGAAAAGGCATATATTTAATTAAAAGAAATACAGGGCATGAACTAGCAGTATTAAGAGGTAGTGATTAATTATGCGGTAAAATAGTAACTCGATTATATGATTACACTGAAGTTCCATGTTTAAAGCTCCGTCTTGTATTACAGATAGTAAGTATACCTATATAATCAGAAATAATAGTTGGAAATAATCAGTCAAAAGATCACATATAAACGAAAACAATCAGAAAATTGAACGAACGAAAAGGTAAAATGGATATATACATTTGGTATATAGTAAAGCAGTGTATAGCAACGAAAGCACGCTCTAATTGAGTACTTTAACTCCCAATAACCTTTGATATTCACCACCAAACAACGTGCACGGGATTTGCGCCCGAAAACAAGATATCATGAATGAAAATATTGTAATCGTACTTTTAGCAGGAATAAACGAGTTAGAATCGTCTTTTGTGCTGTTTTATCTCACCGTTTTTGTATATTTTTTTACGTTGCTTAATTTTTTCCAGTTATTCACCTCGGTGTCGGTGGTTAGCGCTCACGGTGTAAATTTACAACACTGCGTCGCGGCTCGGGAAATATCTATCACTAGCCACCTCGGTTTCGGAAATTAACCAACGTAAATGAATGAATGAATGAATTATTTTATGGATACAAAAAATAATAAATAAAGAAATTAAGGATGCCGTTATTCCCGATCTGTGAACTCTCTATTGACTGAAATGTACCTTCTTTTAAATACTAGAAAATGGAATGATCTCGCAGACTGAAAACTTTTCTTATTTTTCTTCATGTCAGTCAAACAAACTTACTTATTTCGTTTGATGTTGTTTCTTCGTGCGATCTTTTCCATGACTGCTTGATCAGGTTGGAGAATTGTGCGGAAACGCTGAAAAAGAAGACGTTGCGATGCTGAGTTTGTGAAGAACGCAACAAATTTTTTTTCAGGCATCATATTGGTAGGGGGATTTTTGGGGTGGCTGGAATGATTTAGTAGACTTAACAACCATTTATCATTTTACTGAACCGACAAAAGCCAATAAATTTAAAATCAGTATTCAAGCTGTCTTGGCATAGGAAGAACTGACAACACAAGCAGCGAAAAAAAAAGAACAATACTGTCAACAAACACGTAAACAAAAACAACATCTGCTCAGTAGTCACAACAACAATAACCAGAAACGACCCTTGAGTCCTAACCGATTTATTGATGTTTTTGATGGGGAGGGGGAGAGGAAAGTTTAATGGAAACATCATTTTTACCTCGTAAGCAGTTCCCTCTGGTAGTATCCACCACCGATAGAAGGCATATCCAGGGACACACAAAACGGCCGATATACACAACATCCAGCCCAAGAATTCGGCCCATCCGGGATATTGCTTGCCGTTGTAAGATATGCCTGTCCAGTCCACACAGAACCAGACGAAGATGACCTGAAATTTGTTAACAACAAGGTATGATGAATATTACCCCTTTAAAGAGTAGATGAGACCTGTCACAGCAAAACCCCAATCGAACAAACACGCCACAATTATATTTTCAGCCTGAATAAGGACCGGATTCTCTTCAACCCAATCGCCATGGCGATTTAAATCATTCGTTTTCAATGCATTCATACCAACTCGGTTTTCAACATGCTTGAAATGCATAGTTACTCTGAAAAAATCGTAACGAATGTAACATGCTTACGAAGATGATCAGAGGGGAGATGAATTTCCAGCAGAGACGAAAGTACATGTTGGGACGGTGGCCGATCATATTCTCGATATCAGTGCAAAATTGCTCGATACCTGAAAACAAAAGGGAAAAGTTACATTGCAAAAAAAGAAAAAAAAAATTTAAACAAATGTTTAGGGACATTAGCGTTGAGTTGATTTACCACGTGGGCCACATAGTCCCGCTGGATCGCATAAGCACGTTTTCTTTCGCTGTTGTTGTTGAGAACCAACTGTTGAGTTACATGAATGCCCTCACTGACCTTCATTGGTTTTTTTTTTTTGATTCTGGAATGCCTCACAGAACTTGTAGGAAACATACACAAGCAATGAACTTGAGTTTTAGAAAAGGTAACGATTTATTTAATTTTTTTTGCTTTACCTTTAACCGTACGCGTAAAATATTTGCGAGTGTTGTGAAACGAGTGATATTATGAACGTATTCGTAATTCTACTCGTAGAATTGTTTGTGCTCCCAAACAATAAAAGCTAGAAAAAAGAGCGGGTAATTAGAGCCAACAAAAGCAACGGAAGCCTTAAAAAAATTGACTTGCTCAGCTTCTCATTGAAGAACTAATAGAGGATAGCAATTGGGGATTACCAGCGGTGGAAGCTTTTAATAGCTACTACTGTGAAGTAAGCAGAGAAGCATCCGGCTCTTACCGTAGAACCATCCTATGCCTACGGCCTCCATGAAAGCTATCAACACAAGGGATATCCCTCCTGCCTGATAATCAAACATTTGAAACACGTACATGCCACCCTGGAAAAAAAAAAAACAAGAAACAGAAAAGATCAGTGGCAGTAATTCTCGAATACCAAATGTATTCGTTTTCTGTGTAGCAACGGCGGTTTTGCTGTTTAGTCAAAAGTTTTGGTTCAAAATTTAGAGGTGAGAAATATCTCTTGTTTCTGCACCAGGGACCGGTCAGGGGGAGGGGGAAGGGCGTTGGAGGATTTTGTTTGTATCACAATGAAATTAACCTGTTCCTCCCCAAGGCTTTGTAGTATGTCGATTACCCCTCCTCCCCGGCCCCTCACCGGCAGTTATATTCTATAGTACCCCCTTCCCCCCCAAAAAAAACAAAACAAAAAAAAGCGATGAATAATAAATGGTCCCTAGAACACTAAAATGGCTCAAGGAACATTCTGAGGCAAGCCTTTGAGACACTTCCGCCCCAGTCTCCCCGTGGGGACCCCCTTGAAGGCGGTCGTCTCAGTGCACGCCCGCATTGAAATTTTGTCTACAAGTGTGACGACCATCACTTCACTTGGTCCAAGATCATAACCGTTACCAGTTTAAAAGCTACGTCACGTCGCTTACCTGAGTCACGTGAGCAAGTCCGAGTAGGTAGCACACGATACAGAAACCCAGTGTAATGACGGATTTATAGCGACGGAAGCCTGGTCTCCAGTCTGCCAGCACTGTTGTGACCGTTTCTACACCGACAAACTGTGTTGCAATCGAAACAGGGAGGCATTAAAAAAACTCTATCATTGAAAAATGCCCTGGCCTCTGAAAATTTACCCCCAATTACACTGCTATGGATCAAGAAAAGAAATGACGCGCATGGTCATTTTTATCCCGAACATAGTTTAGAAACGAGCCAGTCACTAAGATAGTGACAGACAGTCGATGATAAAATAACCAGCGATTTTAGTTTACTGAGAGACACAAATTATCCAAAGAAACTGCCGGAATACTGACCAACAAAGGTGCAGGGAATAGTTAAACAATTCAAATCTAGATCAGCATGCATGACAAGAAACACTTACCTGACTGTCCAGTCCAAGATTGAACAACATAAAAAAGAAAATAAAGGCCCAGAAAGGTGATGCAGGCATCTGCTTGATTCCTTCAGGGTAGGCTATGAATGCCAAACCAGGCCCTACGTAGCAAAAAAATGAACAAGTGGAGAAAAAATAAAATTAAGTAATCTTGCAGTTTTAAAACATTCTTGCGTTCCGTCACAGTTTTAATTTTGCACTTTTTAGACAGTCGCGGCGCACTTTCAGTTCCGTTTGTTAACGCGTTACCTTGCTACTACAGTTTTAACGACTCACATTACTACGTTGATATTTGAGTCATAGGTTTCCAGCCCGAAACATTCTTTTAGGCTACTGTTCTAATTCCAGGTAGCCAAGTTCCTCTCAACGTGAAGCGAATTTAAGTCACGATGAACTTTGGGTGCGAAGAGTTCACGGTTTCACTGACCGTTGGGGTGACAAAAATATCAATAAACTCTGAGGAAATTGCTTAACAGCACTAGAATCGTTCATTGACAAATAAAGTCAACTCTCTTCAACCGTTTTTATTTCAATCTTCTCAAAACGTACCTCCTTTGACGACTTTTCCAACAGTTGTTTGAAGGACATGTGCCATGTAACCCATCATGGTGAATATGACAAAGCCAGCAAAAAGGCTTGTACCACAGTTGATAAGGGACACAATAAGCGTGTCTCTGTAGAAGAGGCATGAGGATTCGAAAGTTACAATAACGCGTTATCTTTTAACGATTTACGGGGTTTAATCAAGTAAACAAGATTTATTGGCATTCTCTAATAGCCTCTAACCCTTTCACTCCCAGCAGTGATCAAGACATAGTTTCTTCACACAATATCAATACAACATCGAGCAGACAAGTGATGTGAATGTCAATTAGGGGATTATCATTTGATCCACTACCAAATTCTCAGAACTAAAACTATAGGCAATGTATGGCAGTGAAAGAGCTAATAATATTTCCCGCTTTGAACAATTAACCGATTGAACAATTAAGCCGAGGATTTTATTGCCGTTGGAGGGAATTGGTTTGTCACATACAAGAAAAAACATTACTGG